CATGATACCTCACGTGCCCTTGAGGTACACAGATTTTATAAATAAGTCTGTACAGAGAAGAGTCCTTTTTGGAGTTTCAAATAGCCCTCTCTACTTGTAATTACGAGTAAATTCCAACTACTAATTATTTCACTAACCACAACTGCTTATAAAAAATACTTAAGATTCTTTGCATTTCTAAAGTTTCCCTCAGGGATCGTTCTCCAATCAGCATTGTTCCTTTTATTCATTTATTTTTTTGGTTGACTTAGAAGAAATACTTGGACTAAATGATCTCTTTCTAAGGAAGTTTTTGAAACAAAATACAGTGGTGAAAAAATTTGCATCGAAACATCACCATACCCCACAAGTATGCACAATTATTGTTTGTCAATTAAAAATGATAAATAAATACAAACAAAACAAAAAACGAAAATCCCAGCGACCATTAAACAGAATACTAACTCACATGGCTCAAACATTAACAAGACACATTATTCTACATAACAAGAAATGCCTGGCGAGGGCAGAGCCAGGTGTGGCAGATCACATCACTAAGGCCCCATTCTTTCTGCCCTCCTGCAGGGCCAGCCTGTCCTTGGGTAGCCACCTCATGGTTGAAGGGTGGCTGCTTACATCCAGATACTACTACTAAACGGAGCAGCAGAAGAGGGACCATTTCTTACTACATAAGAAAATATCCTTTTCCAGAAGCATCTCCCCAACTGCTCCCGCCCCTCCCCCATGGGCAGATTTCTTCTGGGATTTCACTTAGAGCTGAGCAACCCGCACGCCATAAGCCCCTCAGAGTCATGGGGCCACCATGGCCGTCTGAGGCTAATAAAAATTTACTCCTGGGCCACACGAGGGGGGATGAACACCCCAGAAGTGGGGGCTGCCAATAGGGAGAAGGTGGACAAGAACCAGCCAGGTATATGACTGCACCCTGGGTATATGCCTGCTCCACTTGAATCAAATTGTGAAATAGGATATATCAAGGTTTGCAGGACTCATCCTTTCACGTGAAGGGAATTCTCATGTGTATTGGAGGAATGGGTTCAAGAGCATAGAATCAGGAGTGAGAACTCTGAGTTGACACATCAGAGGACATCTTCTGGAACACGAGTAACCCCTATCCTTCAGGTTACCTGAAGGCCAGTCAAGCGGTGTTGGGGTCCTCCTGAGGAAGGTCCCTGGCTCCCACATGGAGTTTTCTGTGCCAGTTTTCATTTTGCTTCCCCTCCTTGTCTTTCTTCTCTCTGTGTGTGAATTTACTAAGCCACTGCTCTCTCCTTTGCTCTAGTTCTACGTTCTAAGGGGATTTCATGGCGCCCTCATATATCTTTATTATAGTGGGCTGGGCGGATCTGAGGTTTTTGGTTCACTGAAGAACCTGAGCTCTGATCTGGTTGCTGTGGTTTGACTGGGCCATGTGATCATCTTCATAGGTACGGGGTGACTGCACCCTGGGTATAAAGACGACTTGGTTAGCCCAAGGGGCAGGCTACAGCAGGCAGCTCTTGTTGCTGTGGCTTAGGGAACAGAATCACTCAGAATTCCTTCAACACTTTTCCATTTTAAGACTAATGTTAGGACTTCCCACGTTGCCTTGCATTATTTGTGAACATGAAAAAATTCCTAGCCACTTCAATGAAAACAGAAGCATCTATAATTTCTTTTAAAAAAATCATGCAAGATGGGTTAAAATATTAGACATGACAACTAGTGTCAGAATGAGGTTTGGGTGATATCTTAATGGTACTCTAAGAAAGTTCCAAAATGCTTGCTTCATTCCCGCCCTTGGAGGGGAAGGACTTTTGTTAATAATATATGGGCTGCTGTATCAGACAGATAGCAAGGGTCAGCCGTCCACAATTCTTTCTGGGACAGGGAAATATAAACAAACCAACCAATGAAAACTGCAACCTGGCAGACTGTTACATGCCATGACCATATGATCCCAGGTGAGAACTCTTATCTACTAATTTAATGACTATTTGAAGTTTAATCCTATTGCATAAAGGCCATTTTTTATGCTAGTCTACACCCAAATGACCTGTGCCAGGCATGGACCTCCTCAAAAGAGGATTTTTTACATCAGATAAAGCACTAATTAATGTCCTTCTACTGGGGACCTGGATGATTTGGGTGTGATTTGGTTTTTTTCCATTTAAATGTGATAGGGTCATAAAAGAAGAAAATAAGACATCTGAAAGATTACAGCTGCACAAACACTATTTGAATTTAAACCTGTACAGAGATGAATGGCTGGATTATCTCCTGCTTCGCTTATAGAGGATGGAGTTGCAATCCAAGCAATTGGGAGTGTTTTCCTTCTTATTCTCAAGATGCTTAATGAGTGTAAAATATTACCACAGTCTTCATGTAGTTAGCCACCCTCTGCTTGCTGCAAATCTAAGTGTTACAAAGAGGTATATCTCCCTGTTAGAATAGCATGAAATAATTGCAAATCAAAGTGACACGAATAACTAAGAAATAAATGTAAAATGAAAGGGTTCATGTTTGAGAAAATAATGGTATATATTGAATCTGATGGGAACATACTTGAAAACCTATATTTTTGTGTCATGTTTTCTTTTCAAGGAAAAGCTTTTCAAGGTCCATCTTTAAAGGCTGTTTAAACGTCACACATCTGGATTGGAGGCTTACTTGTGCTGAAACGTGACTGTAATATTTTATTTGTTGCTGAAGGAAGCCTCTAGGCATGTTAATTTCTTTCCATCACTGATATCTACTTTGATGGGGGGGGGGACTGTGGAAGAGCCTTAGTAATGATCCAGGAGACCGTCAAGTGAAAGAGCAGTATAGCAGTTGCTCAGGTTATGTGGAGGTCAGGTGTCTATAAATGGAATTAACGGAGGAAATTATTTAGCACCAGATTAGGGAAACTTCAGACTTGGAGTCAGATCCATTCTTCAAGTTAAATTGAATGCTGTGCACAAAACATAGCAAGCGATTATATTTTCATTTATGTCTGTAGTTACCCAAACACAATAGACCTTTAACAACTCCTTTAAAATCCCCAAGACAGGGAATAGCACCTGAGCCTAGCCAATCCCCTTTGCAGCTTTTTATATTTGAAAGGCAATATTGCCTCTTGCATCATTTCCTAAACTGCCAAGGGCCAAGGGGGAGGGGGAGGTCATATGAGTTCGTGGAAAGTGTGACTTTGGAGTCATGGATCTGGGTTCAAAGCTTTGGGGCCATTTACTAGCTGTTTGCTGTCTCTGAGCTTCAGCTAAACTGTCTCTGTTGGCAAAACAGCAATGAAGACCTTAACCTAAGGTTGTTGGGATGATTTAGCGGGATCATTTATGGAAAGTGTTTTTACACAATAAATAGCCATTGATGTTATTATAGTAACACAAAAATATTGGCATCATAAATTTTGTATCTAAGTCATCCCTTTCAAATTGTTCTCCAGCAAATTCTGGGAGTAGGTGCCTTAGGCCCCACTCCCCGATACCTGCATCTGCCTCTTGTCACCTAATGCTGTGGCTCCTGTGATGCCCGGGAGAGTGTTTACCCTCTGGGCCCAGCTCTCCCCCACTGCTATGGAGACTGCTGTTACCAAAACCACCCTGGCCTCCATGGAGGAACCACTGCTGCTCCTGTCACCAACTTGGGATAAGTCTTTTTTCTTAATTCCTCCACCCAGAGCAGACACCAGCTTGTGCCTTAGTGAGAACTTGCTGGAAATTCAGCCATGATACACGGGAAGTGTAACGCAGAGAGAAATACATGCTTACCACACACATGCTGAGCCATCTGCCAGGTGCTCACCGGGCTCCAAAGTGCCCCAGATTTCAGAGCTTGGTCCCAAAGGACTCCTGGCCTCTGAGAAAGGAGAATTTTCCTTATTCCAGTTGAAGGCCTGCCTATGAGTCTTCCTTTCCTGCACCATCATCAAATCTTCCCAGTGTGATTCCTACAGGCACAAACCACCTCTGTCCAGAGGAACATGCTAGTACAATAGTGGATCCAATGATAAAGGGAAGGGAGGAGAGCTGTCACAGGGATCCAGGCCTTCCTGTGACACTCCCCACACCTCACCCAGTTCCCACATTTCTTGGGAAGTCACAGAGACTTGTCGAGCCATAGTGCTGCCAAGCAGTTGACGCTGGACGATTTGAACTCAGGTCTGTGCCCTGAGGTTCAATGCAAGGATCCATCAGTGGGTAGCAATGAAATTGTGACTGTTGCATGTTCCTTGCACAACTGGCTCAGGACCTGGGCCAAAGCAGTCTATAAGAGGCAAGCAGGGACAGATAAAGAGGTGGAAAGGGAGAAAAACCAGTGGAGCAGAGGAGTGGTTGTGTGTCCTTTGATGTCTCTGTCCCTCTCTCATATGTATGTGTATATATGCATGGATGTGTATATATGCATGGATGTGAATGATTATGAATATGCTGAAAAATCGTAGTCAATGGAATCTATGTATTAAGTTTGTATTGAATATACACAATTGAATGCACATATTCAACTGAATATAGGTATGTACATTATAGTACATGCATGTGTCTACGTATGCACATAAATTTATGTGTGTGTATATACTTATAAACACACATATAATCTCTTTAAATTAGGATTTTTATTCCACCTATCAAAATCTTTTTTGTTTATTTTCAACACTTATTTTCTTTCTTCTTTCAACTTCTCTCCCAAGTCTCTTACAGAGCCACAAAAATGAGAGCAAATAATTTTTTTATTGTTTGCTTTCTTCTCATTTGTTTTCCTGCTAACAATCTCTAATATGCAAAGTGGCTGAGGTTTATATTAGATATTTATCTGTTTTTTTTTCTTATGTTGCCTACAAATTGTTCATGCCATGGTCAGTGACCTTCTACAGAAATTTGTCCCCACCCTTGCTATAGGGTAAACACTGGAATGTGACTGCAAAACACTGACTGTGTAACTCTGGGCAGTGACCCGTGCCACCCTGCCAAGCTGGCAGGGCAGCATTCAAGAGGGCCCTTTGTTCTGGAGCAAAGCTTCAGGATAGGGCAGAGGCAAAGTGGAAATGCAGGCTGACGCTGGCTGGCATCTGCGGGATTGGTTCCTACAGGTTTAATATCGCTCGAGCTAATAGCGTACATGTTGTTGTGAAGTCAAGCGCCACTAGAACCGACTATTAAGACTGGCAACAGGGAACCAAAGGCAAAGTACTTGGAACAAATGTATGGCTTTTCTCCAAGACAGGCTGGGAAAGCATGCCCCATCAAGAGACTAGTTCTGGTGTGCGCCTAAAACAATGTGACAGCGCTGGAGAGCAGAATGCGGAGTGTCTTGCATCAGTGCTAGAAAAATCCTGGTCACGTCTCTGCTGTGTGTCTGCGACAGGAGCTGTCCTTGGCAAGGTCATGAGGAAGATTTCAGACACAGGTCAGTCTACTGAGAGATGCAGGGGGCAAATAATACTTGCAGCCCTTCATGCAGACTCAATCTCTAATCTCCCAATCTCCAGATCCTTTCCAAGAGGACCTGTCCTATCTGGACTCTTTATTCCAGGTTTCTAAGTGTGTTCAAGGATGAAAATTAACTTACAGGGAACTTCTTCTCCAAAGGTTGAGAGTCAAGGTCGCCCATCTCTACATAGTCCTTCTTCCTACTAGGTGCATGGATGGGGGCCGTTGACTCCTAATAGCCTATAGTGAACATAAGTATCTCATGCTGCTAGCCTTCTCCATCAGACTCTTAGAAATCAAATGCTGAAAATATTTCTTCATCTTTCCTGGGGATGGAAAGGGCATTCTTAATTTTTATATTTAAATTACAGCTAATATTAATTAAGTGCTAATATATATTAAGGCATGTATTATATGTATATGTGTATATACACACACATACACACACACACACACACACACACACACACACACACATATATATATACACACACACACGGCAATATTTTAGGGACTTTGCATGTTTTAATTGATTTGTCTTCTTAAAATCCTATTATTCCAAATAATTATTTTTGAAACAAAACCATATTTTTGAAACAAAACCATATTTTGAAGTACATTGAAATACATACTGAAAAGCTACACTGGGTATCTCAGAATGTCAACTAGAATGACCAATACCAAAACCTACTCTAGTAAAATTGATGGACCTTAAAAAAGAAAAAGAAAAATCTACAAAACAACATGTAATTTATACAAGAAAAACCAGACCATCATCAGACTTTCTATCAAAATGAAAATATAATACATATTCAAAGAAAACATCAGGCAAAGATTTTACACCCAGCAAAACTAACTTTGAAGCATAACTAGAACTAACTAATACACATGCAATTTATTATTGTCCCAATGAGCTTTTTCTAAGGAAGCTACTGGAGAATGTTCTTCGGACAGCCAAGGTGACCAGCAATACACTGACTTAAGAACAGCTGGCAAACATTTGGCATATTGTCACTTTAAGACTACATGAAGTTCAAAAGGAGGAGAGGATAGTGTGTAGCAGATACGTGCTATGATGATGTAGGCCCTAGATGATGATTAAAAGTGGGGGGAGGACGAGATTGAGACTGTAAGTGTTTTCATTAAGCATGCTGGTGGGGGCACTATTAGCTTGCTTTCTAAGACTGTTGCATGTACTTTGTAAATAATTATGGTTTTTCTAATTTTACCCCCCCAGTGTTCTTCAGAACTAAGATCCTTGGTGTGTAAGAAAGAAGATACAGATGTAATATAGAAAAGTTTAAGTAAAAGCCCTCTAACTTTGCATTTAAATTGTCTGTATGAACTTCTGAGGTATTTTAACTTGTATAAATGTTTTCTAGATGTATCCAATAAAAATGCTATATAAATAATGATCAACAGAGAGGCAACACACCCCCTAACATCCAGTGATTGTACGGAAGCATCAGACCCCCTGAGGGATATCAAGGATTCTTGGAGAAATGGCTGACTCCAGGTCTGCAGTAGGAAATAGACATAATGGACCTGGAATAGCCTGTCACATTAGATATCAAGGAGGTTCTCAAAGAGTCATAGCAGGAGGGTTCAGAAGAGGCCTCCACTGATCAAATATGGAACAATTTGAGCTTGAATAAAAGTAATTATAAAGGGGAATCAAGCATTTATACTGACTTGTTCCTAAGTACTATATCACTGAGTAACCAGAGGATATTTTTTTCCCCAAAATACCCCATGAATAAATAAAGAAGTCATAGAAGACAACACTGACATTTTGCACCCACTAAAGAATTAATGGATTGAAGGTTTGACATGATGGCTGTGAAGATTCCAGAAAAATTGACAGCAAAATATTATCTGCCTCCTATTGGAAGACCACTCTGTCGCTCATTAGAAGAAACCAATAGTCTTGCAAAAGAGGCCAACCCTGAAGTGGAATCCAGGAAATTTAGAGTATGGGAAGCACGTACAGCTCAAATGACCCAGGTCCTTTAATAAATAAGTTAAAAGGATGGTGGGGGGAGGGGGCATGTAGATTAGAAGAGATCTAATACACATGTCAATTTCTATGGGAAATTGTTCTATGGGAAAGACCAGACTTCTGGTTTCAGTTGATGGGGGATGCGCTCTCCCTCTCCCACTGCCTATAGCCAAAATCCTGGAAAGAATATACAAAGCGACTGACTGTCTGAGGACTGTGCAAATAAACCACACTAGGTGCACTGAGGGGGGATTTAAGATCCTGAAAACGGTGACTATGGAGGCGGCATTGCTGCTTTTTTGGTTTTGATTTGTTTTTCTTCTTATAGCTCCCTGATTAGTATCGGGGGAGCAGATCCTGGAACTGTGCTACATGCATGGGCAGAGAAAGTTCCAGGAGACACTCCTTTATTTCTAAGCAGTGGTTGAGGACAGGTGGGGCCTTACAGGATGCATAGGGGAAGTTTCTGTGACTTTCTTCCTGCTCTCTTCTGGTTCTTCCATGAGGCAGTACAGGGAAGATGCGCCGCGGGAGCCGTGCTGGCAGCAGCAGGGGTGCAGAAGTACCTAAGACCCCAAGTGTTCTGGAACAACTAGGTCCTGGTGTAAAGTACCCCAAGGTACCCTGAAACTGAAGAAAAGAAGCAGACGGATTCGAGACTGCAGGGCGCAGTTATTGAGGGATTCACTGATAGAAACACAGACTGGGAGGCAGCATCACCAAGTGGATTCCTGCGATTTGGATCAGGAAGGGAGGTGTATGTAAAGACTGGTTAGGACAAAGTGACTTCATCCAAATTGTAATCTAACTGGTTTATCTTAAGCAAATATCAAAGAGTCAGGCACATTTTTGGCACCAGGATCTCAATGTAAAGATCCACATACCACTGTGATGGTTTTGTTTGTTTACAGTATACTGGGAACAATGCACAGAAAACGGTAAGGGTCACTTAGAGCAATCAGGGTGGTTATGATTCAAGATGGCTGCAGTCATGTCAAGTTGAATCCATGCTCTGAGAGAGAAAAGTCCTTCTGCTTGAGGAAAGGAAGAGACAAAAAGGAATCCCTGTTATCTGGTACAGAGAAAGTTGTTGCTGTTTGCTATGGTCTAGATATGAGGTATCCCCAAAAGCTCGTGTGTGAGACAATGCCAGAAATTTTAGAGGTAGCTGCTTTTGAAGTAAGGGAGGAAGTTGTTTGAGGAAGAAACATGGAGGAGATTTTAAGATGGCTGACAAAGTTCTGTTTCCTAACCTAATAATCATTCATTAGGCTACACACTTGTGTGGGTTTCTGTATCTATAACTTATTTAGCAATAAAAGTTACATAGATAGTCAATAAAATTTCAACAAAAAATCCAATATAGTTTTATGTAGGACTTTTTCAAGTAAAGATGACAAACAGTAACAATGACCACAAGAGCTAGGGAGATTGCCATCCCAGATATCCAAAATGATCACTCTTAAGATAATTTGTACAATGTGGTTTTAATTTAGGAAGAGGGGTGTTGAACAGTGGAATAGAACAGTTCTGAAGCCCAGGCAGCCTATCTGGCAACTTGAATGGTACAGAGTAGACATTCAAGAATTGGAGGAAAGATGGATTATTTAATTAGTTGTGCTGGAGAACTGATTATCCAGATTTTAAAAATTACATCTCTGTCTCATATGCTATGCAAATATAATTTCCAGTTAGATTAAAAATTAAATGTGAAAGGCAAAAATTATAAATACTTAGAAGAGAATATCATTATTACTTCCACTCAGGGAAGCATTTCTTAAGCCTCAAAGAGCACAAAGCCTAACAGGAAAAACATGTGCTTTGAAATAAAGAACATATATTTACCACAGAGTGTAAGTTAAAAAAAATCCATAAATTAGCAGAAGGTATTTAAAAAGTTTTGATCTATGTAAGATTAGTATCCAGAATATTCAGAATAAAAGGTAAGTGAAATGCCACTGTCCACTAAAGCAATTGTCAAAAATCCCTAAGATAACACCAAATACTGACAACGGCAGAGAATATCAGGAACTCACCTGCTGCCGTGGGAATGCAAAAAGTGGTATAACCACTTTGGAAAACAATTTGCACTGCTTCACAATGCAAGAAAAGTCAGGAATATGGAGCATAAATTCGGAATAATGGCCGCCTTTGTGAGAGGAAGAGAGAACATTTGCTTGAAGCTTTAATGTGCTGATGATGTTCTGTCTCTTAAGCTGGATGGTGCGTGTGAGCATTCGTAGTGTTAATGTAACTTGAACTCTCCAGGTATGTTTTGTATACTCTTTTGAATGTGTGATTTATTTCACAGTGAAAAAGAAAACATTTTAATGCAATATTACCTGCAACCTGTTCAAATATACTGAACAATTATATATTCTTTATTCAAGTTATGTTTTTCTAAACACCTGTTTTATACTCAGGATGTGTAAGGTCTTTTGATGTCCACGAGAAAAGTACAGTATTATTAAAATGTTTACATGGAGAATGTATTTGTTTATTATTTGTGTGAAAAGTGGAATAGAAAGTAAGAAAACTACAACGCTGGTGGAATGCTCAAAGAATTAGAATCTAGTTCACGAGATGAGCAAACAAGTAGAAGGGCCCTGGAGATCACTGGATGGATCTTCAGGATCTGCTGCTCTAAGAGGCAAATGTGTAAAATAAGTGTGTAAAGGTGGGACTTGTCAAGGATGTGCTCTTGGGAAGAATCGATGCATGGTAGGTTGTACCCCGAAATGCCTAGGTATTCGTCCGGTCACATTTACATGAAATTTTGTTAGAATTTTGAGTCCACTTGTCCCTGATGAATACATAAACACTGAAAAATATATTTTCAGTTGGAATCCAATGGACATGTTGGCTATGATGCAGAAATTTGTTGTACAGGTAGCTTTTCAGGGTTGCATCTGCTCTAAATGGCAAAATACACCTACATGTGTACTTGGCATTAGGAAGGTAAGGAAGTAAGACCGCAGTTAACTTCTTTTTATTATAATGCAACTGTATTCCAACTTTCCCTCACACCCCGGCACCTGACATGCTTCTGTCTCTTTGCCCTCCTTTTCTAAAAGGAGTAGCTCAAGATATTTGCTTACAATTGGATTTAGAAGATTAAATGCACTGTTTCTGGTAAGGGCTCTTACTGTGGTTTCCATGTTCCCTTCTAAGCCGCCATGAACCTGTGCTTGCCCAGCTCAGGGGGGTACAGATTCCTGTCACTCAAGGGAAGCCCAGCACATTCTGGGCTATGATCGTGTGTGTTGGATGTGACAACATCTCTGCTCTATGTGTGAGTGAGGATGGGTAGCAGAAGTGGCCTTTGCCAAAGCCCCCTCTTTTTGGGCTACCTTTCTGGGTATTATTCTATTTTTATGGTGATGCTGATTTTTATAGAGTCAGCCCACTTCTTGCCTCTCTTGAGTGGGCATAAAATCTATGATTATTTCCAGGGGGTTCCATGTTGCTTTTTCTTTCTGGGTCGAAACAGTTTGTGAAGTGACACCCATAGGTCAAGTGTCCACGTGGAGGTGCAGGTTAGATATCTCTTCCTGAGTAATCAGAGGCGAAATCAGAGGGGACCCCAGGGCTTTGGAAGGCACAGAGGGGATGAATGCACCCGGTCCTGGAATAGAAGAGGTGGTTCCCAGGAATGCTCCCACTCTGCCCTGCCTTTTTCTCAGCACACGGCTGCTCACTGTTCTCTGATACACACACACCTAATGTTCTTTCACTCATTAATACCACATATTTATTGAGACTCTCCAGTGTAACTTTCTAGATGCCGGAGATAGGGCAGGGAACAGGACAGGCCCCCTCCATCCTTCACAGCAAGGAATCAGGCAGTGGACACAAAAGTTGAGAAAATGTCAGAAGGGCGTGTGCCTTATAATAACCAAGTCAAAGCAGAATTAGCGTTTATTCCTTGGTGTCTGACATTGATTTACACGTTCTGCATGTGTTATTCATTTCGCCTCCCAGAAGATTTACGCTGTGCATTGATTATCATCGCCCCCATTTTACAGATGAGCAAACAAAGGCCCAGAAGAATGGAGACCCTTTCTTGGGTCCCATTTCTAGTAAGTAGTAAAACTAAAATTCAAATACGGACTTTGATTTTTGAGCTTCCATTCCTAACCGTGTATCACTGGAATCTTGCATTTCCAGGAGGACCACAGGCCAGGATCCATATAGGAAGTGCAGGGGCCTGAGACTGGGTGAGGAACCTGCATTAAATAGGGCTCTAGGAAGAGCTCACTGAGGGGTGACACCAGAGTCAGAACCTAAATAAGGAGAAGGGTGAGACATGCAAAGATCCGAGGGCAGAATTTCCCAGGAAGATCCATCAGCTAGGAAATGATCCTAAAGCAGAATCCAAGATCAATTGTTGGAGAGACAGAAAGAAAGAGGGCAAATGAGGTGCTCACGAGCTTTAGGAAAGAGAACTATAAATCAAAACCAGAAGAACCTGGCTTGCTCTCTCATCAGTGTCTTTGTTTATAAAAACGGAAGGACAGAGCCAAACTTACCCACCTGTGGGATTAAAGGAGCTCACAGTAGCCATCACCATAATCACCGTCACTAATAACATGTCCACAGAGGACGTAGCCTGGCTAGCTGGCCTTTTCCCGAAGGAACATGCTAAGTTGCTAGTTAAAACTCAACTGAACAAGGACTGCAAAGCTAGCACATATTATTTCAATTGCCCCATCTATCTTAAAAGGTATCTACTGGGCTGGGGCTGGGGCTCAGTGGTAGAGTGCTTGCCTAGCATGTGCGAGGCCCTGCATTTGATCCTCAGCACCACATAAAAATAAATAAATAAAATAAAGATATTGTGTCCAACTACAACTAAAAAATAACTATTAAAACAAGGTATCTATTATCCTCATTTTGTAGATGAGGAAACTGAGCTCTGAGAGGTTAACCATGTCAAGGCCAAATATCAAATGTAAACAATAAAGTGGTGATTCTAACCCAGTGTTTTCTTACTTCAGAGCACACAGGGTTTCTTTTACGCCACACTCCTTTGAAAGATGCAAACTCATCCAGGCAGGAGCAATGTCTTGCTATGATATAGTATCAATTGCAAATGCAGACACTGAGAAATCTGTTTTAGAAGAAGGATATGATGAAGACCGTGGTAATGTTGGGGAGATGATAATAACAAAGTGCATTGCGAGAGTGGGTGACATTAGCCACGCTGCTGTCCTCAGGTGTCTGAATGCTTTGGATAAAAGCACAATCTTCCGTTGCTCTTAAGCTGTGCAGGCTTGGCCTGAGAGAATCAAGAATAAAGCTGACTGCAAACTTGGTGCATAACAGAGAAAATAAAGACATCATTTACTGACTGATTTGGACTAAGAAAAGATGTATTTACTTGCAGTTTATTATGTTGAATGTGACAGGCATACATTTGTGCTTTTTATTGAATGATGACTTACTACATACAGGAATTGGTGCAATTTGTAATGCAGATTATGTTTTTAAACAAAAAAGGGTGCAAATACACTGATGGCTGTCACGTGACTCGCTCTGCACTTCTCAAAAAGTGGCTGGAGCGTGGGCGTAACGACAAATATACCCTAGATGCACAAATGTAATTTCCAACGAAGAAGATTCTGGGCAGCTTCCAATTCAGTCGGGCAGATTTAGACAGAAGAAATCCACAGCTAAGAAAAGCTAAGTATCCTAAAATAGCAGGAATTGGAGTAGGATCATTTAAATCACTCCCATTAACGGCTGACATGCCTCCAGACAGGGCGAGAGGAACCACAGCAGAAATCAGGATGTGACCTGAAGAAGTCCATTTTGAATCGCTGTGAAATTCCAAACGTTACACACCTGGGAATCCCACTTTTCTTCTAATGATGAGAGTTCAGATCAGGGAAATAGAGGTCTCCCCATTCTCAGGTAAAGCACAATAGAATGGGGGCCCTGGCTCATGGCTTCTTTCCTAAGTAATGAGTTTTGTGACCTCAGCAGCTGCTAGGCGTCGGGTCAGAGCTCATCTTGGGATACATTTATGCAGCTCCTTGGGGTGCAGACTTGTGTTTTCCATTTGCAGTGGATTCATACATTTATGAGCCGGTAGGATTCTGTTTCTCCTGATCATCAGCCACCATCTTCATTTCCCTCCATTCGTAACTGCACAAACAATCCAAGTTCCTTTCAGACCAAAGCAAGTTCTACTCATTGCTTTTCTTCCTCGGACCGTTCAGGCGCCACCACTAACTTCATCCCGTGATCCAGCCACAAAGGAGCGTTCATTCATGCTCACTTCCATCTAAGCTGCTTATGAGTAATGTCAGAGGGAATGTGTGACTAAAGCTGCAACCCAGGCAGAGATTGAAAATAAGTGGAAACATTTTTATTTGGAGAACTGATTCGCCTTGGAGGAAGGCAAAGTGGGGCATGACATGATTCTCAAACCACGTTCCATGGCTTTCTCACCATTGAAACTTGGAGCTTTTCTTGTTTGTTTAACAGAAATGTTGTAGCAGGGCAACAAAAATCGCCCTTGGCCATTTCCCCTCCTGATCCCCTATGGGGGAACCTCCAGCTCCCACTTATTGCAAACCCCGGAGTCTCTGGAGACAGCGAATGTTCTGCCCCTATCTACATTTCAGTAAAAGGCCCAGCTTTCCAGCTCCTATCAAATCTTAGCAAGGACAGGATGTCTTTCCAGGCTGGACTCAGCATTGGAGGCTGGAACAAGTGGGGTCACACTGCCAATCCCTGCCTGCACGATTCATGCTACAAAGGTTCACAGCCACGGGCAGGCCTCTGTTGGCCAAGGCGAGGAGTGGGGGGGACTGTTTTTAGGCAACTGATCATGGATTTCCTTGGTTTGCCTTCTGCACATCTGCTTTTCTCCCTTCTGACAAAAAGCAGAGGGCCTGCTTCCAAGCAGGGAAATCAGTGGGCAAGGGAGGGCCAGTGTCGCCCAAGGCCCCTGCCTCCAGGACCCCAAGCCCCTGCCAGCTGGTGTCTTGATGCAGATGTGTTTCCACCAAGGACTTTGTCTTCTTTTGCTTTGTTCATATTCCAGGCAGGACATGAAGTAGGGAAAAAGGAACAGAAAGAAGGCACTAGTTCCAACCCCTGCTCCCTGACCCTGACCCCTGGGTCAGCTCACCCTCAGTTCTCCCTGGAACAAACCCTGGGGGCTGCATGGAGGAGGAGTGAGAAGAAAGCGGCTCAAGGGTCATTTCTGTTCTCTTCCAGAACCAGTGACTGTTCGGGTGGACTCTTCTAGAACCTCTCAGTGTCTGCCAGGACTCCTTCCGGGCAGCCAAGTGCCACACACTGGGTGCTTAAATGATGGAAATGTATTGCTTCACAGTCCTGGGGCTGGAAGTCCCCAGAGAGGGACTGAGAGGTGGATTCCTTCTGCCCGTGCCTCGCCCTGGCTGCTGGTGGTGGCTGGCTACCTCTGGCATTCCTGGGACGGTGGAAGCCTCACCCCATTGCTGCCTTATCTTCTCC